CACTACTACGAATTTACATCCCCTTCAGAAGTCTGAGATCCGCTAGTGAGCGACGCCTCGTGGTACCATCACAGAGAGGCTCAAAATCACTTTCCAGAACATTCTCATTCACCACTCCTGGCTGGTGGAATGATCTTCCCACCCCTATCCGGAATGCTGAATCCCTGACAATTTTCAAGCGACAGCTGAAAACTCATCTCTTTCGAAACTACTTGACGTCATCATAAAAATTATTATTATTTTTTTTAAATCTCTCTCTTTATTTATTCCTTCTCTTTCTAGCTTGTACTTATTTGAACAATGTCTAAGAACTTGGTATTACAACCACTTCTTGTGTCTGTTTGCCTCTTTAAGAAGAATTGCTTTATGTATCCCCCAATTGTAAGTCGCTTTGGATAAAAGCGTCTGCTAAATGACTAAATGTAAATGTAAGTAACGTAATTAGTTACTTTTTTATGGAGTAACGCAATATTGTAATGCATTACTTTTAAAAGTAACTTTCCCCAACACTGGTTATGGTGTTGTACTCAATGACCTCAGATGTTTATCTTATTGTTTCGGTTATTTTGCCTTTTCTCAAAAGGCTCCAAATGGATTTTAAATCTGAAATCACAGAAGCATCATTTACTGTTGGTTCTTGACGTTATGGCTTGGTTTTAATACTTCAATATTAGCTGTTTCTGTTGTTTGCATGTGTCAGGAAGTACAGGAGGTCAGTGTTAATCCTACTAGTGGAGTAACAAAGTTGGTCGAATTCAGTGCAATCACAGTTTTTGGCAAGGTTTAAGTTGTTGTTTACATATAAAAAAGGCTTACCCTGCGTTATTGCTGACTGCAGTCAGGCTCTTAACTCCTGTCTTCAGCAAACTGTTGATGAGATTTTCTGGAATACCACACAGGCCAAAACCTGTGAATGAGAGTAAAGGATATTAAAGAATTTAAAAAATGGTTGTCGTCAGCTATTTATCAAGGCTGTTGTAATATAATATAATATAATATACAATAATGATGATAATAATAATAATAATAATAATAGTCATTCAAAAATTCTGTGATTTTTTTTAAATAATTAAATACTTTAATTTAGCAAGGACACCTTAAATTAATTAAAAGTGACAAAGTTATTACAATGCAAATAAATACAATTCAAATATAAGCTGAAGAATACTGCTTTAGTAATAAGAATAATAAAGAGAAGAAATGTTTCTTGAACACCAAATCAGCATTACAGAATGATATCTGATGGATCATGTGACACTGAAGACTGTACTCTAAAAAATGCTGGGTTAAATTTAACCCAGTGCTGGGTAAAATAGGGACAAACCCAGCAATTGGGTTGTTTTGGCCCAGCGGTTGGGTTAAATGTTTAACCCAACCTTCTGGGTAGTAACCCAACTGCTGTGTCAAAACAACCCAATTGCTTGGTTTGTCCCTATTTTACCCAGCACTGGGTTGAATTTAACCCAGCATTTTTTAGAGTGTGGAGTAATGGACTACCTGCTGAATTATTTTTGATAGAATAAACACATAATAATAAACTCTTGCATAAGAGACTTCTTACATTACTTCAAAACATTTAACAAAATATTACTGACCCCAACACTAGGATATTAAAGAATTTAAAAAATGGTTGTCGTCAGCTATTTATCAAGGCTGTTGTAATATAATATAATATAATATACAATAATGATGATAATAATAATAATAATAATAATAATAATAATAGTCATTCAAAAATTCTGTGATTTTTTTAAATAATTAAATACTTTAATTTAGCAAGGACACCTTAAATTAATTAAAAGTGACAAAGTTATTACAATGCAAATAAATACAATTCAAATATAAGCTGAAGAATACTGCTTTAGTAATAAGAATAATAAAGAGAAGAAATGTTTCTTGAACACCAAATCAGCATTACAGAATGATATCTGATGGATCATGTGACACTGAAGACTGCACTCTAAAAAATGCTGGGTTAAATTTAACCCAGCGCTTTTTAGAGTGTGGAGAAACCCAGCAATTGGGTTGTTTTGGCCCAGCGGTTGGGTTAAATGTTTAACCCAACCTTCTGGGTAGTAACCCAACTGCTGTGTCAAAACAACCCAATTGCTTGGTTTGTCCCTATTTTACCCAGCACTGGGTTGAATTTAACCCAGCATTTTTTAGAGTGTGGAGTAATGGACTACCTGCTGAATTATTTTTGATAGAATAAACACATAATAATAAACTCTTGCATAAGAGACTTCTTACATTACTTCAAAACATTTAACAAAATATTACTGACCCCAACACTTGTGAATTGTAGTCTAAGTAATAAGCAGACAGTTACTGATAAAGGATGAGGTAATGATACATCATAACCCTTACCTCCCACAAGAATAGTTGCTCCATTAGGAATATCTTTGACGGCGTCTAGGGGGTCTGAATAAAATTGTCCGGACCGTTGACAAACCCAGCAATTGGGTTGTTTTGGCCCAGCGGTTGGGTTAAATGTTTAACCCAACCTTCTGGGTAGTAACCCAACTGCTGTGTCAAAACAACCCAATTGCTTGGTTTGTCCCTATTTTACCCAGCACTGGGTTGAATTTAACCCAGCATTTTTTAGAGTGTGGAGTAATGGACTACCTGCTGAATTATTTTTGATAGAATAAACACATAATAATAAACTCTTGCATAAGAGACTTCTTACATTACTTCAAAACATTTAACAAAATATTACTGACCCCAACACTTGTGAATTGTAGTCTAAGTAATAAGCAGACAGTTACTGATAAAGGATGAGGTAATGATACATCATAACCCTTACCTCCCACAAGAATAGTTGCTCCATTAGGAATATCTTTGACGGCGTCTAGGGGGTCTGAATAAAATTGTCCGGACCGTTGACTTGAAGTGGAAAAGTAACAGCCACACGTCTGCTAACAACAGACATTTAGCAGGGTGAATGAAGTAGGCTGAACATATTAAAAACAAACACTAAAGGCAACAACTTTAAAGCAGTAATGAAAGAGATTTACACACTTGAATTCACAGTCAATGAATATGTACAACACTAGAAATCCTTTAAGCTTCCTGACAATCTTCTACCTAATTTTCCATTGAAAAAAATCAAGTGTTTACGCAATTCCATACAAGTAGCGATTTGAGGAATACAGCCTAGTGGAATACATATACTACATAGATCAATGGTTGACTTTACCATTCACGAGTGCTGCGCCTCTCATGAGGCAGTGGAATCTTAAATCATGCATAGAAAAGTGAATTGAAATAAACGTCATAAGATCCATTTCCTGGGTCAGCTACAACAGTTTGACCACTTTCCCATGCTGACATGCACGTGCTAAACAAACCCCGGGAGTCCAGCCAAGACGTCCATTTCATTTATATCTTTATTTGTTGACACAACAGTGCGTGTTTGACCTCACAAAAGCTCCACCAAAGGACGAGGAGAGGAAACAGCTGAACACTTATCACTCAATAAATAATTCAACTGCTTCTGTTTTGTATATATGTCAGCCTTAAGAAGTATTACCAAATAATAACATACAAAAATACTGAGTTATAGTAGTTTTCCAAAGACCATAATAGCTCACTCAACAAAGAAACCATGTATGATCATCACCACTGTTATTCCTTGAAACAGTCATTCAAAGGTTTCTGCTCTGACTGCATACAGAACAACCTGATGATCCTCACAGCCACATGACACTAGCATGGGACTGTGTCATAACTATAGGACTTCAAAACCTAGGCTTAGCGGTCAGCGAGAATTCCTCTCCTTGTTCTGAGAAGAGCTAGTTATTATAGCAGTCTAGTTCACATGTTGTGAGATATAATAAGCCAAAACTGGAGGGTGGAACAAAAGGGGAGGCGTGTGAGTAGGAGAGAGCAGAGTTAGGTTACTGTTAACCAAGAAATAGTGTTGGCAATGCTGTCAAGTTGGTTGTCCTAATTTTAAAAACTAGCATTTTTATGGAAGTTATTGATCAAATCTGTGGTAGTTTATAGTTTATGACAGAATTGCTTAGTGACCATTTGTTTCCAGGTCAACAATAAAACAAATACATGAAAACAAACATGAACGATTTGGTTGTGACTCTGAAAATCAAGGTCAAAAGTATGCAGATGCTCTTTAAATGGTTTGCTGAGAAAACACAATGCAGCACAAAATGGCTAGTTTTACTAGTCTCTGAGATTAGCAATTACACAAGCTTTCACTTCAGGTGAATATATAACCGTTGCAAAACATCATTCTTTTAAACTAATGCACACACATCATGTATATATATGATTACTCATAGCCTTCTAATACGATCTGCACCTCCATCTTCGCCATGCATTGGAAAGTGGGTCAAAAACAGAAGCACCGACACGTTCAACATCATGCAAAATTTCGGATGCACTGTCTTCTGTTTGTAAACACTGACCTTGCCAACGGAGAATCGCGAGATGTTCGTCTTGATCGTCGCTGTCACGTTCCTGATGATCACACTCTCCACTCTAGATAGCGCTTTAAGAGTCGCCATGTCTGCAAATTACAGGCCTAATTTTGTGTGTAGTGAATGATGGTTGACAGTATGCCCTCGTTGATCTCAGACAGGCGGGGATGAAGTAAGCGAAGGAGTGTCGGGGGCTCGATTGGCTTATTTGCATTTAACCCTCTCACCACCATCTAGCGACTTCCGACTCATTCTTCTGAATTCATTCTCATGAATCGGATGGTTGTTCACCTTACCAGTCTGAACGATTCGTTCACGAATCCTACTGAATCTTTCAGAGGGGTTCCAGATTGAACAACGCAGCATAGTACATGTCCGAGACGTCTCAGTGATCCATATTATATTATATTATAATTTATTATTATATTATATTATATTATATTATAGAAATCACTAGATGGTAGTGAGAGGGTTAAATGTAAATAAGCAATTCATGCGCCCCCGTTTGTTGAAGCCTTGATCCAGCTCATAAAAACATTTAGAACCTAAAAATTTTTATTTATATTATAGAAATCACTAGATGGTAGTGAGAGGGTTAAATGTAAATGAGCAATTCATGCGCCCCCGTTTGTTGAAGCCTTGATCCAGCTCATAAAAACATTTAGAACCTAAAAATTTTTATTATTATTATTTACACTAATATTAAAATGTATGTACATTGCTTGGCTATTTTTTTTTTTATTATTATATTTAATATGTGTAATATGTGCTCACTATCATATAAAGTGATCCTACTTTTTTTAAGTTTTTTTGTATTCAAACAAATATAGTTTTAATATATCAGAATAACAACAGCTATAAATAAACAAATAAAATGCTAATACAAATAATAACAGCATGCACATTTCATAAAGACGTAAATTACATAAAAAGGGACAGAAGAAAATAAAATAGGCACAAGCCCATATGACACCACGTGATGGCATAATTACGTCATAACATAAAATAACTGATGAATCTTTCTTTGAAATGATTCTTTAAAAAGAACTGTTTGAAAGAATCGATTCGCGGAAAATGAATCGGACTCCCATTCATCACTTCTGCCAATATTTAAACCCACTGTAATCAAACACCAGGTATTATGGGGATAATTTGGATAAGAGTGGAAAAAGTAAGCTCTTGCATTGATATACGTGCCAAGCGTGAAGTTTATGAATGAAACGAAAGAACAAAACATCCATGTAATCCTCTGCACGTGAGTAATCGCGCGCTCGTCACGTGACGGGACTGTCGCTTTGCAGTCATGGCCGACGACTACAGACGAAGCGTCGAGCTGGAGAGGAGGATTTTTGAGTTAGATAACAAGTGTGCCACTCTTCGGACGGAGAAACCAGGTAACCGGGAATCACGTCGTCAGTTGCGCAAAACCAGACTCTCTTTTATTATAGATCACGCATGTTCATTGGCTGAATCAGCCCGGTGTTGTCATCGTTGGCTAGTTAGCTTAGCCGCTCTGCGTTAGCATTCCTGCGAATCACAACAAACATTTTCCTGCCCAGCTATCACTTCGTTTATACGACAAACCTTTGACTAGCTCTTTTATACGAACACCATAGTACTTATACTAAACCCCAAGCTAATGTAAACGGTAAAGCACGTTTATTACGTTCTGTAATTTGTCAATTTTTTTGGCTAGCTAGTTAGATACAGTTTGCGTAAACTGAGTGAAGTCGCATGTGGTCATGCAGTGATACAGAACGACGCGCAAATAATATAAAACATAACATATGTAGTTATAGTTATTCTGCAATGTGACATTACGATCTCACTTTAAATAATATGAGCGATAAATAGGCATTTAACGTACTGTCAAACTCTTTAAGCAGAATTATTCAATAAGTATTTTGCCTACTTCAGCCAGACAAAAGGTCGCGTTTAATATAAAGGTTACAGATTTACATGCATTAAAATTGATAAATAAGAACGATATATAACCACCGCTGTTTTTTTTTAGACCACCAACTATAAAATCTCATGTTGTATGTCCTCTATTAGATGTTAAGTATTAACATATTGGGCTTTTTCCCCCCCCTTCCTAGATGATGACTACTTACAGAATGCATCTTCCATACTAGACAAGTTGAAAAGCTATTATAGACATGGAGGAGAGAGCAGCAGCCTCCCTAAACTGCTGCAGGATTATACACAGGTACTTCATACAACACGGGTCTCACCCTGCAACATTCCCTTAAGCATAGTGTAACTATATATTAACATGTTTGATATGTGAATAAAACAGTTAATATGAAAATATTGTTAAATTAGTAATCGAATATCATCTTTTAGCCTTTAGATTAGCCTTCATGTTAATTCAAGAAAAAAACTCAGTAGTAGTTTTTTTTTTATTTTACAGGGTCCCATACATCCTTAAAAGTGTCTTAAAGGGTTAGTTCACCCAAAAATTCTGTCATTAATTACTCACCCTCATGTCGTTTCAAACCCGTAAGACCTTCGTTCATCTTCGCAACACAAATTAAGATATTTTTGATGGAATCTGAGAGCTGTCTGACCCTCCATATCAAGGAGATCTGTAAAATAATCCATGTGACATCAGGAGTTCAACTGCAATTATACTAAGCTACGAGAATACTTTGTGCGCAAAAGGGAAAAAAACGACTTTATTCAATGATTCGTCTCCTCTGCATCACCCTGGTGCCATTTTGGAGAATATCCGCTGGACATAAACAGCTGTTCTGTGTCAGCTGCGTCACACGGATATGCTGTTTCCATTCAGATCCAATCACAACAACGTCTGAAACAGATCCGGCATGACGCATATACTAGCTGTATATGATATACTACAGGGTGATGCGGAGGAGACGAATTGTTGAATAAAGTCGTTTTTTTGTTGTTGTTTTTTGCGCACAAAAAGTATTCTTTTAGCTTCGTATACTTGCGGTTGAAACACTGATGTCACATGGATTATTTTACAGATCTCCTTGCTACGTTTCTGGACTTGGGAACATTTTAGTTGCGTTGCTGTCTATGCAGGGTCAGAGAGCTCTCAGATTCCATCAAAAATACTTAATTTGTGTTTCCGAAGATGAACGAAGGTCTTACGGGTTTGAAACGACATGAGGGTTAGTAATTAATGACAGAATTTTCATTTTTGGGTGAACTAACCCTTTAATGTCTTGAATTCAGTTTCATCAAAGGACTGAAGTCTTAAATATAATTTTAGGAGGTCTTAAATTTGAGGCAGAAAAACCAATATGGCCTACTGCAATTAATAAACTTTGAAAAAACTTTGAATTAAATGAATGATAGCACTGCACATTAAAAGCCAAAATATTGCACTGTTGCACATTCTACTGGCTCACAGTTTCAGAGCTGTGCAAAATGAACACTACACATTTATGCCAAGTGATTGCTCATTATTATTGATTTGTAATGTATGTTACAACAGTAACAGTATGTTACATACGTTAAAGAAATAGTTCACACAGAAAAATGAAATTGTTTTTATTTGAATTGAATGAAAGGAGAAAGGAACTGAGACATTTTATTTTTAAAAATAGGTTTTGCAAATTATTTGAGAAATTATAACGATAGCTGCTCACATCTCAGCATGTCTAACAGACAATTCTTGTTGGATGACGGATCATCACCTTCAACTCAACCTGGCTAAAACAGAACTGCTTGTGGTTTCACCAAACCCATCACTTTATCAAAATTTCACCATCCAGTTAGGCTCATCAACCATAACTCCTTCAAAAACAGCCAGAAACCTTGGAGTTATGATTGATGATCAGCTGAATTTCTTAGACCACATTGCTAAAACTGCCCAGTCCTGCGGATTTGCTTTGTTCAACATCAAGAAGATCAGGCCCTTTCTTTCAGAACATGCAACACAACTCCTTGTTCAAGCTCTTGTTCTGTCCAGGTTGGACTATTGCAATGCTCTTAGCCAAGCGCTAAATACCCTCAACGTGTTTTTGCACCGTTGAGCAATGTAACCAATCACAGACATATCTGTTGATTTCTTGAACGCAATGGCCAATCAGAAACGTTTTGTCAGAATTCACTCACCGCTGAAAGTGCCGCAGTTTTTAAGTGCAGTTTTGCACGCTCGTTGCTCGTGAATCATCTCATGACTAAGTGCAGGCTAGGGCTGCACGATATTGGAAAAAATTCACATTGCGATATGAAAAAAAAAAAAAATACTGTTACACATCTGTTTTCTTTCTCAATTGTTTCCCTTCACCTAAGTCATAAGCAACTGCGTTTACAAGGATACTTGCAGAACACAGTATTTCAGGCACAAATAGACGCAGAAATGCACAGAATTCAGTGTTCACCTGCATCTGCATGGCTCTCACCGTGTCTACACCAGACGCGAGCGGCGCGACACGACAAAATACAATGAACTCATTATCAGTGATGCTGTCTACACTGGATGCGTTGCGGCACGACAAATCCCCGCCAGTATACTGATGCTGCATTCTCTATGACGTACTGACACAAAGTTCAAATGATATGCAACGGTCGCTTTGTCACGTCCAGTGTAGACAGACTTTGGGGCCGTTCACATGCCACGCCTAAAAACGCGTGGGAAAACGCCAGTCGCACCGCTTTCTCCTTCTTTCCAAAGCACTCGGGAGCTTGCGCTTTCGTGTCGTCTGCCAATGCTAAGTAACCATGACCTGCGCTCTCCACGACGATGCGGCTGTTTCAACTGGATAAATGGATTTCCAGCACTGAAAATATTGTGCAGTACCTCTGCTACTAAATGTATTTAAAATCTTTGTAAAGCTGTCACGTCCGGTGTAGACACCATGTCTGTGTGTGAGCAAAGAAAACAATCAGTATAAATATAACGATCAGTAGCCTATACTAAACATCGCACATTCTGAGATGTGACTATCGCGGATGCGTGCATCGTGATGTCAATTCTGAAACGATATATCGTGCAGACCTAGTGCAGACGCGATGTAAATAAGAGATTCATTGTGCAGTTTAGAGAGCTTCATTGATTATAACGTAACTTTGTAAGATCTCAATGAAGATGAGTGACGCTTTTTAGTGATAAAGGGAGCACACTTTGCGCACAGCTACATCCTGCAAAGTTTCGGGAATGACATCCGCATATTTATGCGCGATTCACTCTTGAAATAGCAGTGATTGGCAATGGACGGAACATAAAATATGTTGATTTAATTCTGGAAGCGGTCCTGGCTAAACCTCCACAGACAGTGCACGACCCGAGCAAGATCTAATTCACGGACCAAAAGCATGTGTAAACGTGATTGAGATCGAGACATATTAACCAGTAATTTACTTTCATTTCCAGTAACAGACGGTAGAAAGTTCAGCAATGAATGGTATGCGATTTATGACAGAATATAGTCCCACAACTGATCGTTTGTTTTTTCCTCATGTGTTTCGCCTTTGGTTACAACGATTCAAAACGGAAACATTTCAAGTGACATGGGAAAAATACACTGAAAACTTCAGTGAACATCAGAAAAGCAGCGTGCACATTTCTGGTTAAAAATGAAAGGCCATCAACTGACAAATGGGAAGCATCACCATTCAAGTCAGCAGGAAGAGCCAAAGCTAGTTCACAGTCACAGTATTTTTTTAGTCCCGCTCCCACAAGGTTATATTCCGCACCCACCTGCTCCCGCTATAAATTCACTCTTTGTTCACCTGCTGTCCGCTTAGAATAATTTTCTTCCCGACCCGACCTTTCCCGCTAAATTTAGATCTCGTTTCCAGAATCTCACATTTAAATTTCCCTTAATGAAAGAAAGATAGATAGGCTAACAAATAAAAGTGTAGTCTGCACAAAATTGTAGGCTGTTATTTTATTTGTCTTGTCTTTATTGGCTTTGACTTGAATTTATATGAATTATCTTAAGACACAAAATTTGTTTAATATTTTATGCAACGCAGTAGGAAAAAAAGTGTCAGAGAAAATAAAAATGTTCAAAAATTGTATTTCTTATTTTTATTCGTCTTGTCAGGATACAATTCGTTTAACATTTACAACACAATAGGAAAAAGTGTCGCAAAGAGAAAAAAAATAAAAATGTAGGATGTACAAAAATAGCCTATTAGCTATTTTTATTAGTCTTGTCAAAATACTAAATTCGTTTGACATGTTTCTGTTAACAGAGTAGGAAAAGTGTCACAGAGAAAAATAAATAACTATGACATATTTCATTTAAAATTATAGGCTAACCAAAATAGTATAAACAAAACCGAGTTGAAAGTCCTTCAAGGACAGCGCATCCACACTTTGCTCCATCCTTATTCTGCTCTGTCACTCATCGACAACCTGCCTGTTCTGTCTGAGGGCTGTATATTTACCACAGGTACAAACGTTTAAAGCATAACAGTCCTGAGCGCAAACTGTAACGATGGTAAATGAGAAAAAAGCGCAGATATGCTGTTCTAAATGGACGTCGGGAA